TGGTTTTCCCATTACATGTATGTTAGTTACATCCTTTGTGGATGTCCCACTGTTTTTGAATAATCTGGTCTTTTTTTATTTCGGTCTCTTTTTTTTTTCACTTTTAGAGATTTCTTTTGTCTTATTCTCAAGCTCAGCTTGTCTTTCCTCAGGCATGTCCAGTCTACTACTGAGCCTATCAAACACATTCTTCATTTCTGTTACCGTGTTTTTGATCACCAGTATTTCTTTTTGATTCATTCTTAGAATTTCCATCTCTCTGCTTACATTATCTATCTGTTCCTGCATGTTGTTTACTTTTTCCATTAAAGCTCTTAACACATTAATCACAATTTTTTAAAATTCTGGTCTGATAATTTCAATATTCACACCATATCTTACTCTGGTTCTGATGCTTGTTCAGCCTCTTCAATCTGTTTTTGTCTTTTAGTATGCCGTGTAATTTTTTGTTGAAAAGTTGATATGATGTTCTGGGTGAAAGGAACTATGGTACCTAGGCTTTCAGAATGCAATGTGAAGGTGTGGGGGAAGGAGAAGCATTCTATAGTCTTATGAGGAGGTCTCAGTCTTTTGGTGAGCCTGTGCCATGGACTATGAATGTCACAATGCTTCTCAGGTTTTTTTCCCCCCCATTTGGGTTGGACAAGATGGCCAGAGGGACCTGGAGTTGATATTTCCCTAGCACTCCTCGAAAGTATAGTAAGGATGTGGAGAATTTAGAACTCTCACACATTGCTGATGGGAATGCAAAATGGTACAGGTGCTTTGGAAAATAGTTTGGCAGTTCCTCAGAATGTTAAACATAAAGTTACCGCATGACCCAGCAATTCCATTCCTAGGTATATGCCCAAGAAGAATGAAAACATCTCCACATAGAAACTTGTAAACACATGTTCATGAGCAGCATTATTCACAAAATAGCCCAAAAGTGGCAAACAGCCCAAGTTTATCAGCTGATTAATGAGTAAATAAAATGTGGTATACCATACAATGGAATAATTTTCATCCATAAAAAAGAATGAAATCCTGAGGCATGCTGCAGTGTGATGAACCTTGAGAACATCATGCTGAGTGACAAGGCAGACACGAAAGGCCATGTAGTATGATTCCATTTATATGTAATGTCCATAATTGACATAGTCATAAAGACAGAAAGCAGAGTAGGGGTTACCTGGGTCTAGGGAAAGGAGTACAGGAAGTCCCTGCTAATGGATACTGATGGGAGCGATGGAAATGATCTAAAATCAATTACGGTGTTGGTTGTACAAGTTTATAAATATATGAAAGCCACTGAATTATACACTGTAAAGGGGTGAGTTTCATGGTATGTGAATTATATGTTTAAAGAAATAAAGCAATCTAGGATGGCTTTTGTTGTGGGTGTGGGGAGTGTGAGGAGATGAGGCTAAGTGGGAGGGTCTGAGTGAGTTAGATTGCATGTTTGGAAAAGTTTGACAACTGGTGTGGCGATTGGGAAGTCTCCTAAGAACTTGTAGAATAACCACTGAGAGCATGGAGGGCCCAGTGTGGTTGGAGCTCATGAATTTATAGCAGCACCCTTTATTTTGTGATTTTTTTCCCCAACACCATCCTGAGCTAAAGCTCAGAACTGATATACATCTGGGGTAGAGAAGGAGAGCAAGGAATTGAGAGTGAGCAAAAGAATACTCGAGATGTAGGCACAGTCTAAGGTGCACAGAGCGGAGCATCGGTGGTCAGTGAACAGAGGTTTGTGTGGTTATAGATCACTTGTAGAAGTAACTGAGAGATAAGATGATAGGAGAGTGGTCAGAGATTTTTTTAACTGGAGGTTCATATAGCCAAGTGCATTGGTTTTTAAAGAAGCCGGGAGTTTTGCATAAGGGTTGTAGTGTGGAAAATGAGGGTAGAATCCCACCTCTCCATTCGCAGTGTGTGTTGGGGAGGGGATACAGTGCATCTCCAAATGAGAAGACTTAATGAAGTGGAATTGACATGTCAGGTAAGGAAAGTGGGCACTTGAAAAGAGCCAGCCCCGGAAAACGGAAATACTGTACCAATTATGCTTCCATCACTGCCCAACACATTTGAAATAACACAATCTCATTGTTGAGATCATTTCTTTTGTCAGGAGAGGTTACTAGAACATTCTTAGTTGAGAAACATTTCTTAAGCTCCACCTAAGTTCCTTTGTTCTAGCCCTATATTGACCAAAGCAGTGATAGGGTTTGGATTTGGCCCCCTTCTTACTACCCAGAGAGAAGGTGCTGATTGGCCAATAAATATCTTCTGTGCTTAATGGAATTCTCATTACAATTTTTATAATCATCATTAAAATATCTTAACTTGGCACTCTGTTTTATACATCAATTTTTTTCAGTGTCAGAGGGAATTTTTGGATTTCCAAAGCTACAGTCCAGACCCTGGCTCAAAGTGTAAGCCCCAAGCTAATACCCTTTTTGAGCCCTCTGGGTGGAAGTCTTCACTGGATTGGTCCCTTCTGCAGGGAACACCTGCATGAGACACCTATCTATGTAAACAGCATGGAGGACCACACTTGTGCATTGCCTGCCTGTACATTTCTCTCTTCTTTACCCTACCAGGGCAGCAGTCATTCATTTCTTCAGTTCTTTGCACAGAATTTCAAAGTTCACTGTGGCCGCTGTACTAGGAGACTATCAGGCACAGATGCCGCACTGAAGGCCTTTGGGCAGTAGTGGCCTGGTGACCGTGATTCAGCTTGAATCACCCCTCATGGACCATGTGAAAGCAGATTCTTACAGGATCCCACCCATAAGCTTGGGAATCATTTTATTTTTCAACTTATTGGAAAGTTTAGAAACCTCTGGGTTTCACTGAACCGTTTCCTCATTTCCTTCTTTTGTTACTCTTGGCCACTTAACCTTCCACCCACTTTATTACTTATTTTTAGGACCCTGACTATTTATTCAGTAATACTAGAGAAAGCATGTCTGAAGCCATATGGATTGAGTAAAACCAACTTAAGAGAAAAAAGAAAAGGCAAGAAATGTGTGTTCTCTGCCATTTCTTTGTTTATATCATCTGTTTAGGTGTTGAGGTTGTGTTGTTTAGCTGCCTCCCATTTTCCAGAAATGACTAGATATCCGGGAAACACTCAAAGAGGGTCCCATTGGCATAGCAAATGAAAGGACACTTCATGTGTCCCCTCTCAGATAACATACCTTCTTTTGAGGTGTGGGAGGGACGCCAAGAGCTTCAAATGCTAAATCTTGAGGTTCTTGAAGACTACTTATTTCTAGGGGGACTTTTAGAAAGAAGCAGTTAAGTGAGTCCTGTGAGGGTTTGGGTTATGTACCTGGCTATTTGAGGTTTGATATGGTGTGCAGCATGACTGCATGCCATCTAAGTGATTCGTTCTCTTTTTGTAAGATGAATATTGGTTTATGGTGATGTTAGCAGCCTCTAAAACCCAACCTCTGATCTGGTCTGTGTATAGTGTGAATTAAAACTTGTGTTAGGTTTATTCTAGAAAATATCTAGACTGGATTTTTCAGGATCTGTTAGAGCCCCTTGTAAAGCCCCCCATCCTGAAGGAGTTAAGAAGGGTTAGCAAGCACCCAGCACACAGAAGGAACTCCTTACTCTAGTTCTGTAGAAGTTCCTCTCTGTGCCTCCTATGCTTTGCCCACTGTAATGGGGAGGAGATGAACAGATGCACTTTTTCACATCAAGCAATCTATGGAACTTGGTCTGCCAACTAACAAATTTAGATGTGAAAACGAGACAATAAGAATAGGAATTAAGTCATCAGTTTGGAGGTAAATTACTCTTGAATGTTTAGAATACGACGTCAGTGTTGCCTACACTTTCCTATTTCCGTCCACCTTGGCGGGCCCACTGGAGCTCTGCTTGGGCTGCTGCGCTTTCCCTTTAATCGGGCTTCCCTGGGTCTCCTTCACCCAGCACCTCAGATGACTGCGTCGGGAGCTCCTGGGTGAATTCTCGTTTGCTTCTCTTGCTTCTCATTCTCTCCGTTGACTTGAGGCACTGTTTCTCTTGAGTGGTTTGCAGTTCCACTTAAGTGGCTGATGTTTGGGGTCACTTTTGAATGTTTTGTTTGAGTATCACTTTCATGATGAATGGAAGGCTGCTGCTTTTAGCAATCTGGAGTAAAGCCCTTGGTGGTAAGCTTTGAAAGGGAAAAACCTTTTTTTGTAGTGATACAGGCTAAATTAAATTACTCTTTTGGTCACTTTGTCCTTTCATGCTTTCAGCCTGATAACCTCAAGTCCTTGGGATCTGTTTGTTTTCCTCAGTTAAGCTTGGTTGTTTCCTGTCCCCAGGTGCATGCTGTCTGCGAGGCCATCGCGGTGGGGTGGGGCAGATTTCTGACCTGGAAGTGTGGCTTCTTTAATGCTGGAATGCACCAGGATGCCTCCCATCCTGCTTCCTGTGCATTATTTCCTTTCTGAGGGCTCGGTTTGTCACCACTGAATCTAAGGGATGATTCATCTGGGACAGGGTACTGGTAATGCTGTAATAACAATACCTTTTATATAATGATACTCAAAGCACTTACCATCTTAGCCTTTCTGTGTTTATGAAGCACGGTCAGTTTAATCCTTCACAATAAGCCTGTGGGTGAAGTCAGCAATTGTGTCTAAGATAGTATCTCAAAGAAGGTGAATAACTTGCTCAGAGTTGCAATGCTTCTAAGTTACTCTGCTTAACAATTTCTCCAGGAAATGAAGCATACTTTTGAAGATACTCTGAGTAAACAAAAAGGAATTTTCCATACTGTCTCAGATGTTAAAAATCTTAACTATTTTTAGTCTGGTCCGTTGATTAAGACCAGGATTGAAAGCCCAGTCTTTAACCATAGAGTTTAGATTGATGTGTCCAAGTCAAGAAAATAAATATTCAAGTCAGTTTCTATTCTGCTGCTGATGTAACAAAGTTAAGGAAGGCTGGCTCTTAAATTAGTGGAACTTGCACTGGAAGTAATTAAGCTGTTATTTTTTATTCTCTCTTCCTTTTAGAGAGATGGAAACCTTGATGACTAGCTCCACCCTGCCTCCCCTTTTTGCAGATGAAGATGGCTCCAAGGAGAGTAATGATCTGGTTACAGCAGGGTAAGCAGCTGCTTTGGGACAAGGGTCTCTTCCTAGGCTTCAGAGCAAAGCTCCTGACAAAATACAAGGTGCTGAAGAGGCAGTTTTGTACCATAAGAATAGAAGGTTCAGTTGCTATGTTTTTCAAGAGAGTGAGAGCCATCTTAAGCTGCTTTGTAGCTGCTTTGTGATCTGACTCAGCTGTCACTGGGGTGGTTTGGCTCCTGTGAGTTGAAACAGCATATGTGGGGTCTAGCAAACACCCTAACTCCAGTTCAGATAATTCCATGCTCACGGTTAGGGAAATACTGCCACGTGGCTAGCTCTGGAAATCAAATGCATTTTCTGTTGGAATTGCCACAAGTATTAAAACTATTTTTTTCCTAAAGGTCAGATTTTTTTTTAAGATTGGATTCTTTAATACAGTTCTCTATTAAAGGTGCCTTGCTTGCTTCTGTTCCTTTTTCCCCCTGTCTCGCTTCTTCACCAATTTGGGGCAGATTAACTAAAGGCATATAGAAAAGGGCTAATAGCAATAGTCCTTCTTCCCATGAAAATCTCTGTTACACTTGAATTTTTATCGTTTCTATTTAGAAGTTATTTGCCAAGGAAGAAATGCATTCACAAATAGATTGAAGTGCTAACTGATCCTTTAGATGAATTATTTTAATATTCTTTACAGGTCTTTAAAAATAGACTACACTTTGTAATTCTGTCTCCTTCCTTCACTTTTATTTCCTACCTCATTAATATCTGCCTCTGACCTTAGTATTCAGATGAAACTCTTCTCCAAGACCTTTCTAAAGTCTGCCTATTGCTCAATTCAGTTCATTCAATAAAATTGTCTGGGGCTGGCCCAGTAGCTCAGTTGGTTAAGAGCTCACTCAAGAGTGCGAGCTCTGGGCCAGCCGAGTAGCATGTTGGTTAGAAGTTGGCTTGGGACGCCAGCTCTGAGCAGCAGGGCCCCAGTTTGGATCCCACATGAGGGCCAGTGACACTGCCCTCTACAGCTAAGATGGTGAACAACAGCTCGAACTGGAGCTGGGCTGCTGTGAGTCACCGGCAAAGGCGTAGGCTGCAGCCTCTGCTGCAGTGGGCTGCCGTGCTACCCTGAGTGGCTGGCAGCTGGCATGAGTATCTGGCAGCCCCGAGAGCTGCCAAGAGCCACCGTGAGCGGCCGTCCAGTGGCCGGCGACCGATCTGCCTCACCCGGGAAGAGCACAATGATAATACCAACATGGGCCAGTGAAACAAAGTCCTCCACAACTAGACTGAAGAACAAAAGGACAGCAACTTGTCTGTTCCCCTTCCCTGATTCCCCAATAAAATCTTTGGGGGGAAAAAAAGAGTGCGAGCTCTGAGCAACAGGATTGCCGGTTCAATTCCCGGCCTAAGCTGAGCTGCCGCTGAGCTGCCAACAGGTGGCAGGATGGCTCAGCTTAAAAAAAAGTTTGGGGCCGGCCGAGTGGCGCGACGGTTAGGAATTGGCTTGAGACGCCAGAGGGCCCCGGTTCGGATCCCACATATGAGGGCCAGTGACACTGCCCTCCACAGCTAAGATGCTGAACAACAGCTCAA